GGGATGTTTCCTTTTTTATTGCACTTTTGTTTAACAATTTAACAATTTGCTAATTCGCTTGCATTTTTTTCACAACCGTGCTGTGGCGACATTTTTGCAGAGTTGCCGGATCAGCGTACAAATCCAGGTGCACAGCGTGAACAGTAGCTACTGGTGAGGCCAGATGTATCGTATATATGAATTATTAATTTATTATTGTCATTTATTATAGCCAAGTAACTCTTAATATATAATATCTGTAAAATAATAAAATATTTCGAATAAAACTTTTTGTTGTCCAAGTAAAGGTTACTTAGTTAAGCTATACAGAAAACAGAAAAAAAGCAAATTTGGTAAATTTTACTAGAATGTATCTTATTAATTTAACAAATGTTTTGGATTTATTAATATTACATATGAAGACTTGATTTTGTTCAAGAAACATTTGAGTACCCCCCAAAGTCTCACTGTACCTCAGTGCAACCCTGGTTATCTGCTGCCATATCATTTCTTTTTGGCTTTACTCTGTGACTAAATTTTACAAAAACAAACACAAACAAAAACAAAACAAAACAGCAAAGCAGAGAGAGGCACACCAGTACGGGCACACCAAAATGTTGGCAGCGATAGCCGAGACACACACCTGACATTTGCGGGCGACCGTATTCGAAATACTGCCGAAATATATGGTATTTCCCCTGGTATTACCGAAATATAACGACGGTACGGTCTCACCAAAATGTTGGCAGCCATAGCCGAGACACCCTCCTAACATTGGCGTGTGACCGTACTTTTGCGCAGTTTTGAGTACATAGTATCGATAGAATGCCTCCCATCTCTAAAGTACAGTGCTCTTCTTCTTTGAACCGTGTTTTTCTGCATTAAAATATTTTATTTCTACTATTTGTACAATTTTCCTGCTTGTAAACCAATAAAATAAACAAGAACCAGCAAAAGACCCTCCTCAGTTGTTTTATTTTCGTTTTTCGCCCGAAAGCCTGATCTCGCCCAGATGTTCTAACCTGTTGCGTTTGTTTTCCCATCGACAGCCGCCACATCCGCATCTGCATCTCGCATCCCACCACGTAAACGCGGCAGGCCGAAGACCAAGGTCGAGGACCTGACGCCCAAGCCGAAGCTCCTGGACAAACTGCAGGCGGCGACCTTGAACGAGGAGGCCAGTGAGCCGCGGTGTACGCCTCCACGACGAAGGGTGAGTCCCCATCCTGGCGAGGGTCCTGCTCCTGGCAATCCCCAAGCTAATTCCGTTCTACACCCGCAGGCGGCGTCAAGCTCATCTTCAATGGCCACCTGTTCAAGTTCTCGTTCCGCAAGGCGGACTACTCGGTGTTCCAGTGCTGCTACCGGGAGCACGGCGAGGAGTGCAAGGTGCGCGTGGTGTGCGACCAGAAGAGGGTCTTCCCCTATGAGGGCGAGCACGTCCACTTCATGCAGGCCAGCGACAAGAGCTGCTTACCTTCGCAGTTCATGCCGGGCGACTCGGGAGCCATATCCACGATGTCCTCCAACAAGGACACCAAGGTGGAGCTGCTGATCAAAAACACCACGAAGCTGGAGGACTCCGACGCCAAGGAGGACGAAGACTTCGAGGAGTTTGAGATTCAGGAGATAGACGAGATCGAGTTGGACGAACCGCTGCCAGAGAAGACGGCATCCAAGGAGGAGGAGCAGGTGGACCCCAATGATTTCCGTGAAAAGATCAAGCGACGCCTCCAGAAGGCTCTGCAGAGCAAGAAGAAGTGACACTAAATACGCCTTAAACTTCAAATTATACTTTCTATATTTACTTGAGGACAAGGAGGTGGACTACAGTGGTTTTTCCGCCTCTAGAGGCTCTGCAGAGCAAGAAGTGACACTAAATACGCCTTAAACTTCAAATTACACTTTCTATATTCACTTGAGGACAAGGAGGTGGACTCCAATAATTTCCGCGTAAAGATCTAGCGACGCCTAAGGAGGGCCTGCAGAACAATAAGAAGTTACACTGAATATGCCTTAGAGCTCACATTATACTTTCTATATTCATTTGGGTTTTAAACACCCCTACCAAGTACTAAATAATTAAGTTTTTCGTAATAAAACGATGTCAATAAATCAGATCTTCAACTAAAACATTTCAATAGATTATAAGCTCTAACTCCGTAATACTTAAATGTACTCAGAACCCATTAACCGATAAATAACCAAAGCTTTTTCATGTCTTTCAGTTACACAACACGTCCGCAACTGTGGTCCAGATGTTCCTGATCAGCCGCAAGGGCGGCACTCTGCTGACCATCAACAACTTTGTCTACCGGTCCAATCTTAAGTTTTTCGGGAAGAAAAATGATATTCTGTACTGGGAGTGCGTCCAAAACCGATCGGTCAAGTGTCGCAGCCGCTTGAAGACCATCGGAGATGATCTCTATGTAACCAATGGTTTGTCAAGTGAAACAAAAACGTAAAAGCGAATAATGCTTTACTTCTGTAACCACAGATGTGCACAACCACATGGGCGACAACAAGCGCATTGAGGGCGGCCAAGGCGGCTGGTATGCTTATCCACAAAAAGTTGAGTTCCCTCACGGCCGCCGACAAAATCCAGGGCTCCTGGAAAATGGAGAGCGAAGTCAATCTGGACCAGCTGCCCAAGATGTAACCGCTTCTCGACATTCCCACCCACACGTCCGAGTTCTGTTAAGGCTAAGCTAATGTATTTCTCTATTATTCTTGCAAAGTATCTTTCTTATTTAGACTGAGTGTCCCGAGCCTAGTTAGGATGGGTAAGTAGCCTGTTAATATGGGATCTCACAGTACTTTTTTGTAATTCGCGAAGTCCCGGGTCATATATTTATTCTGTTCTTATTGCTTAGACGCTTTTGGCCACGGCACTGACTTAAGCAATGGCTTGAGTTACGTAGAAACTATGGAACTTGTAATAAAATCAGATGAACATCTAAACGAGTTGCAATTAAATGATCTCCCTTACGATTCAAGAGTGTTTTCCCTAATTGAATCTCTTAATAGACAATCTTTTAAACATTATTCTTCTGTAATCGCTTGCTACTGGGTTACATTGAATTGTGCGCTAAGACTAGCAATATTTAAATATCTTGTCGCATACATATTAGAAATCAATCTGCAAAAATATATCCCATTATAATTTATTTTTATGGTTTGATTATTCATGATTACGACTATATCTAGTAATCTAATTTATTTTTAGTTTTACTTAAAATTATTTAATTTTGCGGCTTAAGAATATCTGATCTTTCCAAGAAATGCGTATTATAAGAGTTGTTTTTTTTTTTTGGTAAGCTATTGTTTGTCTCCTCAAATTAAGAAATAGTTCTACATTTTTCCGATTCATTGTAAACACGTTTTGCCTTTTATGATGAAGCTGGTGATATTACTGAGCACTAAAAGTTGGAATATTCTGAGATCGCATCCAGAGGATTTAAATCTCTTAGCTTCAACGTGAGATTGATAATCAAGAATCGTAGGCCCTAATCGGTAGTGATCCAAGGCATCTTTAGACTGCCCAGCTTGGTCCTGACATTGTTGTGGTTGTGCGAGGAGCAAGTGCTTCGGTATTTTACCTCAGAGTCCACCATAAATGTGGAAGCTCGGGCCTTACAACCCTTATGGTGATACATGCATCGCCAGGATCCGATTAGGTTATCCTTTCCCAGAATTCGATGGACGATAAAATGTTCATTGGCTATAATCAGCTTCGGACGCCTGTGGGCAGCCAGATTGAACTCCGCGGGCCCGTCGTATTGCTGGCCCTTTCTCGAGTAACGCCGACGACCTGAAACAAATTAGAAAATCTCGTGTCAGAAAATTATATTGATAACATGCACAAAGATAATTTTAAAGCTAGCGTTAGTGGTTAAAACAGTATACAAGATTTTTCTATTATCATTTATTTCTTTTTGTTTCGTTTTGTAAAGTGCTTAAATCTATCAGGACTTAAACATCGTTTCACTTAGCTTAGATTCAGGTGGCTCGATTTGCAGTATGTAGTCTTTGGACTATTATAAACTTACCCAAAAAATGTATATATTGAAAAATATAGTTTTTGATTTGTGATGCTATTCAATTTTTGTAGGTGTACAAATCATATGGCACCGGTCATTATTGTTATAACTAGCTAAATTAAGAAGAATTAAAGTGTGTTTAAATTTTGTCTTTAAAAGCCTACATTGTTTTCGCGTAGTTTTGCAAGAATATTGATTGAAGACCTTCAGATAGTGGCTTACAATTGTCCGAAGACTACAAAAAAGATGCTCCATCGCTCACCGTAGCATAGGTACTCTACATCGACATTAGTTCAAAAATCTATTCAAAACCACAGACATTGGTGAGCCCACAGCCCAGGGGGCTAGTAGTCCTTGCTGATGAAGACGGCGCCGTGGGCCTGGTGCTGCTGCATCAGAGCCATCATTTGCGGCGTCTGCACGTGGGGCAGGGAGAGCGGCATCGCCAGTGACATGGAGACGGGAACAGGTACCGTCACCGGCATAGCCAGGTGGGTGGGAGCTGTGGCGTACGTGGGCGTGGGAATCGGCGCCACCTGGGTCATCATCTCCACCGTAGATGTCGTCGAGGTGACGACGGGGTTCGAATTGGGTGTTGGATTCTTGGTCGCCGGCACGGTGCCATTTGCCTTGGCCTGGCAGTAAAGCTGGCACAGCGGCAGAAGTTCCTTGTGGCGTCTCTTGATATGGCTGAGGAAGTTTCCCGTGGACTTGGTGGTGCCGGAGATCAGTCCAAAGCAGGTGGTGCAGGTGGCCTGGATGGCGCCTGGCGTCTTCTGGTTTGGCTGGATGTTCTTGTAGAACTTACCGTCCAGAATCTTGGGCAGGGTGAAGGGTTTCCGGAACGACTCATCGTCGCTCAGGTAGGTGACGGCCAGGGCGGCCACAGCAGCATCCGTTGGCTGGGCAGGCGTGGGCGAAGGCTCCATTTTGATCTCAACTGCAAGATTATAAATGTCAGAAGTTAGTAGGGAGTCTAAAGTATTCTAAAGCTAAACTAAGTGTAGAACGAACACGCATAACTACAAATTTTGTACACATTTAGTTTAATTTATTTAGATTAGGCTAGGTCTGTAGTCTAGGGAGTAAATTAGATGGCTGCCTACTGCAGCTCTGGAAACTCGTCCAGCAGGTCAGCCGAGAGATCCATTGAGCTGACCTCCGGGCCATGGGTGTGTGGAGCGCCTGCGATGCGCAGGGTGACATCCTGTATCTTGGAGGTCACCAGGGTGGCCCGGCAGCTGTGCTTCACGTACCGCGAGCACCGCCAGAAGACGTTCTTCAGGCTCTGGCGGTTCACCACGTACCGATAGCCCTCGAAGACCAGCATCACCCTGCCCCGCTGCGTGGTTGTGTACTGGATGCTGGCGCTTGTGGTCTTGTCCTCAAAGAGCGCCTTCAGGGATTGGATGACACCTGGAACGGGAGAGGAGGAGGAGGTTCACAGACATTAGTTGGGGTTATTTTTGGAGTTCCGGCTGTGGTAACTAGCTACTGCACAAGAGGTGGGAGGAGAAGTTCTGTTACAGGCATTTATTTTCAGTTTACAAACAACAATTTAATCTACTGCCCGGGCTTGACCACCATTACTTTAAGAGTGGACAGCTTGTGGTCAATGAACTGCTGGACTGCGGATGAGGTAAGCTGTTCGCCGCGCAGGGCAAACACTTGGCACACATGGGCTGCAAAGATATAATGTGATACGGGTAAGAGTTACGGGTAAAGCCTCTATTATGTACTTATGACGTCCTGCAGTAGATCCTTGTCGGTGGCCTCGTTCCGCTGGGCCATGAGCGCCAGCTTCTCCTTGCCAATCACCAGATCCATCACCCGGAACGTGTAGATGGCCGGCATGGGGATGTAGGCCTTGGCCAGAGCAGCCTTTGACACAAAGAGGCGACTGCCGTCGAACAGGGGAATGGCATCCTCGTCGCGGGGCGTTTTTTCCGTCCCATCTGTGACCGGTTTCTTGGAGTTCTCCACGGGCTTGGGCACCTCAGTGTCCTCCTTTGGGACTTCTGCAATGGCACATTATGGCAAAAACAATCAATACACTTTGCTTTTAGGAGACCACCGAAAACATAAACAAAATAAAACACAGTTCATGCGGTTCTTAAAAGGGGACTTTATTTCGTTTAAATTATTAAGCATTCGCCTACACTTGCAGCACATTTCAGCCGGGGGTGTGTTTTCTGGGCAGTATGCCCTATTATTAATCACTTTCATTGCTCAATTTCACACAAAAAAGCCTTAATTATTTATTTCAGCACGCCCACGAGTCAAAAGAAATGATATGGCAGCAGATAACCAGGGTTGCACTGGAGGTACAGTGGGACATTGGTTAAGGGGTACTTAAGGGTTTCTTTGAACAAAATCAAGGCTTCATGTGTAATATTAATAAATTGAAAACATAACTTCTTAAATTTATAAATTACGTTCGAGTAAAATTAACCAAACTTCTTTGCTTTCTGTATAGTTTAACTTAAGTAATCTTTACTTGAGACAGCAAAAAGTTGTGTTCTAAATATTTTACTTTTATTACAGTTTGAAATATATTTTTAATAATAATTATAATATTAAGAATCCCTTGGCTGCAATAAATGATAATAATAAATTAATAATTTATATATACGATATATCTGGCCTCACCAGTAGCTACTGTACTCGCGCTGTTTCAGCCCTGGATTTGTAGGCTTGATCCGGCAGCTCTGCAAAAATGTCGCCACAGCACGGTTGTGAAAAAAATGCAAGCGAATTTAGCAAATTGTTAAATTGTTAAACAAAAGGTGCAATAAAAAAGGGAAACATCCCGGAATAAGTGCATAGTGTTGGTGGAATCCCCGCTGTGAAAGAAAAGCCCGCCTCCCAAAAAAAGGCGCTTGAGTGTCTTGTGATGAAGAAGAAAAAAAACCCAACGACGCCTCCTCCAATTTCAGTAAAAGTATTGCAAATATTGTGTACAATTGTTAAGAAAAATGTGAAATTGCAATGCAAATGCAATGTTAATAAAGTACAGAAACTATGGCGGCGCAGGCATATATTATTTGGCGGATCATCTTGGGCTGTCCAGTTGTCATAGCCTCCTAATCAATACCCGTTCCTCCCACTCCAAATTGTGTCTTGCAGACGAACTGGAGGATGACTTCAAAGTGCACCTCCCCCTGCTGGTTTCCAGGAAGAGGAAGACGCTGGCCAGCCACCGCAAGCAGAACTTCGACCACCTGGAGGTGAGCTTCACCAGGAGCAATCGGGGCAACAACCTGCTGACCATCGACGGGAAGCCCTTCACCCTTAACCGCCGGATCAAGGACGTCTGCTACTGGGAGTGCGTCAAGCTGCGCTGCAAGTACATCAAGTGCTCCGCCCGCGTGGTGACCAAGTCCAATCGGATCTCGGCTCTTCGTGGGCTCCACAACCATCCATAAGTTACGAACTACCTGTGCCATCTCATTAGTCCAATAAAGGTGTTTCCGTTGAGCAAAAAGCCATCTTCCGCCTCTCCTGCCGTTGTAGTTTCTGTAGTGTCCCTAAGACAATCACAGGAGGCCTTTTCACTAATCTCTCCCACTACTTGCAGCATGCTATCAACTGGTGGCCAATCGCCGTGGTGGTAAGAACCTGATCTATCAGGGGCACATGTACTCCGTGGAGCGCAAGTACCGGAACAGCATCAACTGGGTCTGCTCCAAGAACAGCAACAGTGCGCTCCGCTGCCCGGCGAGATGCGTCACCAATCCGGAAAGTACCACAGGCATCAAGCTGAGCCACCGGCACCACAACCATCCGGCGGATTCCTTCAAACTGCACAAGCGGAGTCGGAAGCGACCTGGCAAGAGGAGCAGCAGCTAGCCATGCTCCTAATCCTGGATCGACAATTGTTAGTTTAAGCTCATTAGTCTTAATGTATATATATCTCTTTGTTATCACATTGTTACATTTTGGTGAAAGGAAACACTACTCATTTGGTTGTTGAATTCAACTAATCATTTATGTATTTAACTCTAACGCTGGCTAAACTCTAAACCTACAGTCTATTTTTCATAACCTGAGCACTAGTTTTAAGCGGATCATTCGGTTCACAAAAACATCGCCTTATTAATCAGCGCAATAACCCATACATCTAATATAGTATTAAGCTTTAAACATTCCTTACCATTTGTGACTTACCCACTGTGGCGATTTCTTAACAGGTTCCCGGCATCGTAGTGTTTATAAACAGAACGGATTTACGATCATCGATGGCTACCGCTTTGTGATCGGCACTACGAATCTCCGTCGCACGTACTTGAAGTGCGCCAACTTTCGCAGCAATTGCCGGGCCCGGGCCATTGTAAATAGGGACACGAACAAAGTGCGGATGAGGCACGAGGGCCACAATCACAGCCGCAAAGATGTGGTGTGCGGACGTATCTCTAAGAAGTAGCAGGTACCAAAGCTGTCTTAAGGAATAAACAAACGGTTTCCGTTGAAAAATGTTCGCCTGCTTTTCACTACCCATAAAAAACGCCATTCTGCCCTTACATTTTAACATTTTAATTGAAACCGTAGACCGTCCACTAACTGAATTTGTTGATTTTTTTGCAGATAACTCCAGGCTAGCGCAGTATGTGCGCTCCAACAGAGGCACCGATCTCGTTTACCACGAGGGAAACACCTACACGCCCAATGAAAAGTTGAGGGAAGGCCAAAAGAGTCGAGACTGGAAGTGTTCTATGTATCACAAGGCCAAGTGCCGAGCTCGCCTTGTCACCCGTATCACCAGAGGAGGGGATGTTATCCACGTAACCAGCAACCTGCATACGCATCCCACAATGTACACCATACAGAAAATGGACGCTCACGTGGATGACCGGAAACTTTGCCTCGAGAGGAATCCACTCTGCGTTAACACACGATCGATAAAAATGTAGAAAACGTTGCTAGGACTACCATGATCTCCGATTTGATCGAATACGGAAAAAATTTTGGGTGAAGTGTTCAAAGTGTGCGGAATTTAAGGTCATCATTGCCATTAGCTTTGAAACGAATCAAAGCTAGAAGAATTCCCAAAGAATTTTACAATTGTAATTTATTAAAAATTTACAAAAACCAAAGACATCTTTATAATTTACACTTATTTTGAAACGTTACAATTTTATTTCTAATATATAACATTTAGTTGCTTTATTTCTCTATATTTAGTCTGTAAGCCCACAAATTATATTTTAGTTTTTCTGACCATTACTAATTTAAATATACATTTTATTTTACAGGTTTCCAGAAGAACTTGCCAGTAGACATGGTATATGACGGAGACGGAAACGTTATGCACTTCATTCCCAACATTCAAACCATTCGCAGTCAGAAAAAGACCATACAGCTATTGTTTAACAAATATGTCTATACCAAAAGCAACACTCACGGAAACACCACATACTGGCACTGCCGTAGTCGTCGCAACGGAAGAAGCCCGTGCAACGCTCGCTTTCTCATCACTAAGCTCAAGAACGGGCGGTACAAGGTTTGTCTGTCCCAGCCGGAGCACAATCATCCGCCTACGAAGCGCCAATATAAACAGAATAAATAGATTTTAAGCTGAGCGAAATATAAACGCGCCATGAATTGGCAAACAGCACTACACCGCCTCTTAATTTGTAGTTGTAGCGAACAATTTAGCAGTTGACAATTTACTAATCACAATGTGTACCCTCTTCGTCCACAGAAAGCAGCGTGGCCATCTACTCGGCCACTTCCCGGGGAAGAATGCAACTGATCTACGGCGGGCAGCCGTTCATCTTCGAGAAGACGCTGAAGCTATCTTCGGGGGAGGAGAAGCGCTTCTGGCGCTGCAACCAGTGGTGGAACCAGAAGTGTCGCTCCCGCGTCTTCACCATCAACGATGTCGTCTGTCCGCTTAACCGATTCCACACGCACGAGGAGATTGTGCGGCGCAAGAAGCGCGTGCGTCGAGTGCCGCCTGTGGAGACAATTGCCAAGGTGGTCACCACCACAGCATCCAGGCAACAGCAGCAGCTGCAGCAGTCCCAGCAGCAACAAGACATTCAGCTTACCAGCGATGCCATCCTGACCAATGCTGGAGCCATGCTCGAGGACGAATCTCCGGCCACGATTGATGTCAGTGAGCTGGGAATGCATCTGAAGTACGAGGAAATCGTAGCGGATGTCACGGGCATTGTGGGAGCCACGCGAGTGGTCAGTCGACGGAAGTGAATGCCAACTTTTTACGAAGATGACTGGATTTTTTCTTGAGGAAAAATCGCATGGTCAGATTTTACTCCATAGAAAATTCGAAGCACCATAATTTTTTAACTTGCCACGTACTAAGAGCTAGATTCTTTTATTGAATTTAAAGAAGGCTAATTACAGTTATTAACCTATATAAAACACTTTAACTATTATTTAAGACACAAATATTTTTATTTTATTTTATTTTCCGAACTTCCCCTTTGATAATAGCTGCATAATTTCATATGACATTTCTGAGAATCTTCTATAGATTAATTTCTGTACTTTCTGTCGACTCGACTCGTTTTAGTCCCTTAGACGGACAAGCTAAGTTAGCAATTATGATTCAGCTTATAAAAACTTAAATATATGTATGTAAATGTAATAAACGTAAGCCCAAAACAGTGCAATTGAATTGTTTTAGAGTCCACGAAACTTCTTCAGCTGCAGTTTGAGTACTCTCCAACCTAAGTCGCACCTTACTAACCAACCGGATCACATACTTTTTCTTCCAGGTGAAGCTCCCCAATTTTACTTCAGCAAGGGTCAGCGTGAGTCCATCAAGCTGAACTACGGCGGCCACAGCTACGTGAAGTTCATGGAGAACGGCCGCGGAACCAAGTGGATCTGTGCCACCCGCTCCACCACAAAGTGTCGAGCCCGCATCCGCACCACGAAGAACAATCGCCTGGAAGTGCTGCATGCCCCCCACAATCACGATCTTTCGCCGACGAAGAAAGAACGAGGACGACATCGTCAAAGGATGAAATCCGGAAAGTAATTGAGAGTAACTAGCAACACAGCCAACATTGTACTAGGGGCTTTCTAGTATTGAAATACGTTTAATTCCTTTTCAGTGTGGTTCATATGATTTTTGTAATGCGAAGAATGATCTTATCAGACTATTTGTTTATAATATAAGCAAACTATTACTGAAGATGAAGAACCTAAATTTTGTATTCAAATTTTAAAAGACGTTTTTATCATATCACTTTTAAAATATATTTTTTGTTTAGTTTGCTCTGAAAATGTGTGTTATAGCCAACCGTTTTTGCAATAACCTTAATTTTTGATTAACACATACAGCCAAATGTTTGTCTCCTTTTTAAACTATTTAAGATACGAGATTTCTGAACTAACCATAGGTAGATTGATATATTTTCCATATCTACTAAACAACGAGTTATAGCTCATAAAGTATATTTTTTTATTGATAGATATAACTTGTTTCAGATTCCGAAACGCGTAAGAATTTTACCGCCATAAATAAAAATGCTGAAGACTTGCGAAATGATTCAAACACTCTAATCAATTGAAGAATTTAATTGATATATATAAAGCCCTCTTTGATGATCTTCGAGGGGGAAGAGTTTTCTGCTTTCTCCGTAGCATGTATTATATTGAAACACGAAAAGCACATCCAAGCACCCCCCGGGCATGTGATGCAAAAAGTTTTGACTTTTTTCAGGTTCTTCCTGCCGGCCTTAAGACAACTGACACATTGTCCACAAGCTCTAGGTCCGACCAGCACAAGATAATGCTGATTCCAGGAGGTGCTAACTAGATTTTCGATACGGTCAAACCTACAGCTCGTAAGCTTTTTTGTCGCATCCATTGTTAATTTTGGAGTGCCCCGTAATGATTGTACTTTTCCGGTGGGAACCTTTGGTCGAAAAATATGAATACGTGACCCGATATCTGCAAGGATTAAATATCTAAGTATTAGATAATGTTAAGCCAAATGAGAACTTTAGTTCCCTGAATTAAGATTTTTATTTCTACATGTGCGTATTGGCAATAGGTTGAAAATAGGAAGTTAAAATACAGTTTTCCGTAGTTTACAATACAAAACGAAGCTCAATAAAATAAAATTCCACTGTTAGATTTTTATGGTTGTGTAAGTCAAACCGCAATTTGGACATAACATTAAAACACGAGATATACCAGAAAAACCCCAAATTGGGATTTACTCAATTTGATGAGCACTTTCAGAATATGAAATCCAAACTGCGGTTACATTTTTGTGTACAGTGTTATCTTTTATGAAGGGGTTAGGTTGTCGCTGAAATTATCCAATTCAAATTAGTATTTAAATTAATATAATATCATTATGTCCTTGAGGAGTGTAGATCCTCGAAGCAGGGTTCGCACATCCAGTTGCTTCCTGGGCATGTGTCACAGAGTGTGTTGATCCGTCTAAGCCCTGTCCTGTTGTTTTTAAGGCAGTTAACACATTTTCCCTTCAAGCGAGGCAATCCCACATGCACAAAGTTGTGCTGATTGGACGCGGTGCGGATTATGTTGTCCGGGTTCTTCAAGTTCAGCTTACGTGCGGGCTCCACACTAATCACTTTTTCAGCAACCAAGCGGACCGCGGGTAGAATTTTCCCCACTCGATTATGTCGAACTTTTTGAATAGGTTGTATTATTTGTACAACCCTAACACCTGTAAAAGCGGAGAAGAATAAATAACAACTTAGTTGGATAATGAATTACTCATAAAAATAAAGTTAATTACAATGAGAAATCAATCTGTACGGAGGAAAAAGAAAAAGGTTCGATGAATATTTGATAGCTATTTCAACGTTTATTCAAATTCATAGTTATAAATCCATATATCCACGGAAATTGGTCCAGTTGGTAAGTTAAGATTTACTTTGAGCATTATCTGAAATAAAATTAAAATACTCATTTAAATTTAAATTTTAGAATTCCTGCCAAGTCATGTCAACTACTTGTATCAACTTAAGGCAGTTGGCACTTACATTTTAATTTCCCTTTTTATTAAGGCGAGACTTCCAATCAACGACTCTGGGGACAAATGTCTTGAGCCGTTCGGGTGGCTTATGATTGTGAAATCCGCGGATTGATTTTATTGATTTAATGTGGGTGGTCAGCGCCGAGGTGCAGTGCATCTTTTTGTACATGGAACAACGCCAGAAGGCCAAACATTTCTCTGGATTCCTGGTGTGGCATGTGAATGTGAATCCCTCGTGGACAAGTTTTCCTCGATCGTCGTAGGTGAGCACTGAAATTAAAATACTGAGTTAGTAGATAGACACAGGAATAACACTTACTTTTCAAAATTTTAGCTGCAAATAGATCAGAGCGTAGCACGATAGATTACATGAGTTCAGATCTTTATTTCACACGATCTTTTGAAGGCTTCATTTTGTTATGCAAAATCCTTCATTGGTAACATGATCCATTATTAAAAAAATAAAATTAGAGGCTTACAGCTATATTCACAATCTTATACGCTATACTTCAAATTAAATTCTGTTCATTTGATTTCTAGATCATAGTAATACCTGTTAACAATAAAAAATGCACACCCAGGCAAGCAGGGAAATAACCGAGCATATAGACATAATCCTCTTCCTAGATATGTACTTTTCATAGCTGTTACTTAGTAACTACATTGCACTGCAGAGACCAGGTGGACTGTTTTGCCCGGTAGCCCAGCTATTCGTGCATGAGCATCATGGAGGCGTGCATCAGTTCGTGATCCGACAGCTGCAAGGTGGCCGCATCGCTGGCCAACTGGTGTTCATCAATAAACTCTTCTTTTGGCTCCTCGAGCTGCTGTTGTGTGAAGCTGTGGGTTCTGGAAAGCTTCCTGCCGGTACTAATCGCTGCCATTTTGTTCCGCTGAATGATCTTCTGGATCTTCTCCGTATGCGGCTCGTGGTTATGAAGTCCTCCCGTTATGCTCTTCAGCTGACCGTTCTCCAGAACACATCGAGATCGACAGCGCAATTCGTGCACCTTCTTCGAGTAGTTGTGACAGCGCCAGTACTGTTTGTTGCTCTTGCGACTGTGGCAGTTGTACATGTAGCCATTCAGCACCAGACACGGCGTCGACCAGGGGCTCTCTATGAAGACCAGCTTGTTGAGATCTGCAAATTAGAAGTTTGAATGGTTAGTCAGTGCTCTGTATTTGGGATGAGGGCTAAAATTTATGGAGTGGCCCTTTCCAAAATGAGCGCCATCCTTTGTTTTGGTCTCAGTTTATTAGGGGGTAAGTACGAATTACGTTTACAGAAGTCAGAAAAGTCTTAATCTAAGTTCGAGTGGGAGGGCCGATTTGCTGAAGTTGTCTTGAACCATTATAAAACTAGTATCATGTTTGGTTGACATAATAATTAAGAATCCTATGAATATTTAGGCAAATCTTAAAGCAGATTCATCCTTATGGGCAACGTATAGGTAATCTTTGTCAAAATTTACATACTTAAATTATATGTTAGCAACTTAAGGTTAAATGTTTACTTGAAAACCTACCACTAGTTGAACGTACGGACGAGAATACCCCAATACAGTTTACAAACTTGATGAAGTGCACATGATATAAGCACAAAAATGAACAATTAACTGACTTCTTTTGAAATTAACTAAGAAATCTTATGATAGACCTAAAAAAATATCAGATCTATCATAAGAGTCAATATGATACCAGCTCTAAAGCCTCCGAGAAAATCGATTGATTGCTTCCAGTTTGGCTGTTAGTTCTTTTAAGAAATCGGCCCACTTCGAGACTAATACAATCTTAGGTGCTAGTTGACAACTCCTAGAGGGGCTTGGTCTTCAGCAGGGAACGGCGTTTGGCTTCCTCCGCCTGCCACCTGGCCTCCCGTTCTCGGTCCCGCTGCTGTGCCCGATGCTCATCCGCCTCGGCCTGCAGTTCCTCCTCCTCCTCCGCAGCGTCAACCAGGGCCTGCATTTCGATCTCGGTGGCCTCGGCGGCGGGCAGAAAGAGCTTGCAGTCTTTGCCGTCTTTGGCGGTCACAATGATATTGCTGCTGCCCAGGTACTGTGAGATCTTCGGGTTCGACGTGCAGATCTCGATGTACTCCTCCAGTTCCTGCTCCACCTTGTAGAGCTGCCGTTGGCCAATCCTCGACGCGTGGGACGAGTGGTTGTGCTGGCGGCGGGCGTCGACAAAGCTACCATTTCGGGTGATGACCACCGCCTTGCAGCGCAGCTTGAGGACATCCGCACACCGCCAGGTGGTCTGTCCATTGGCCTGGGTGAGTTTCTTGTTGTAGATGTAGTCCCGGTAGACCAGCTGGGCATTCTTCTTCTGGCTCCGGATGAAACTGATCTCCGTATCTGCAAGTGGCACGAAGGAAACCGAAAACAAAGAGGGGTGAAGAGAAGGCGGGGAAGTTGGTTTAGTGGGCAAAGTATTACCAAAGTTTAGACCTAATATACAAAGTAAATATGTAAGGCTTAAGCGCTAAGCTAGGATCGGCGAAATAAAACAACGTTTAGTTAAGACTTTGGCTAAAAGCAGTTTATTGGCAGACAGCTAACCGTAGGACCCATGAGTGATGGTACAGTACTAACTGGACCTGAAAACAAGACATTCTACAACTTACAGGAGCATTATCTTCTGGATTCACATCGCTTGGGTTTCAAGTTGGAATTATCACAAAACACAAGGGTAGAAAAACACCAGGCACTGTAAAGAGGGGGGCTTCATCCATTTTATCACCCCTATCACTTGATATCTTAGCTTAACACCAAAAACACACTTTTTCACAGTAAAGAAATTACTAATCTATGAACAAAACAGAACATTTAATTCTTTTGTAGTAATTTAAGAAAACAAAACAAATTCGGCTTGGTTTTTCTGAATGGTTTTCAACAGTGTTGCCACTCTTTTCAATTTCAGGGCTACCATTCCTAGCAGGGCTGCCAGAAAGTGGCAACGCCTCAAAGTTAGGGCTATATAAACAGCATTTCCAGATTCAATAAAACTTTGAATTCTTTGCGATAATTGTTTATTTTGCTCTATTGGAATATTGATAGAAACGTTGACATTATATATACGATCTTAGGGACAACACGAGTGCCACAGAAATCGGTTAACGTCACTTGGGCTCGGTTTTTATGTGCATTAATTTAAATTGTACAAGAAGTCTGCTATTTATGTGACAC